GTACCGGTCCACGGACCGGCGGTTGGGGACCCCTGCAGTAGAGGAATGGCAGTAAACTTCCCCTCCTAGCAAGAATTCAGATGTTTTCACAGAAATGAATACATGATATACTGTACTAAACCTGTGGATAGGGAGGGGATGCTAGAAATTTATTAGATTTCCATTTGGGATCTAATTTGATTTCCATTTTGGGGCTAACGGGAATGTAGGGGATTTTGTTGCTTCAGGACCAGAGATCGCTTGGGATCAGATGACCACATGATTAAATGCAGATTTCTTGGCACTTTTCAAATGATTATCTGGAGAGAGTGTAAATTAGTTTGTGGTGTTTTCAGCATTTCAGAGTGATTAGAAGTCAAGGTAGGTTGCTTCAAATGGTTTGGTGAGAAATTGGGGAATGGATGCCTTTGGAGTATAGCTGTAAGAAATATTACAACACTGAATGGAGAAACACACAGATTTGGGTAGAAATGTCTGATTTCCAGAATCTCTTTCTTAATTGGCCTCAGGTCTGCCTGGATGACTCCATCTCTCCAGTTGTGCTGCGGACAAAGTTCTCAGTTCAGGAACAACCAGATAACAGCAATCTGCGACCCATCCTTCACCCTGAGACAAAAACTTCCACTGACATTGAGGTATTTTTCTGTACTCTGTGTTAGCACTTCCTTTATCTAGAAAAGGGGTCACCAACCTGGGGGCCATGGCCTACTACTGGGACATGAGCTAATCGCCATTGGGCTGTTTGACTGAACAGCCGATGTGTGCACCTCCATGTGTGCTCACAGCCCCACTTGTGCGAGTGTTGTTACAGATGCTTGTGGCCCCAATCGTGCAAGCCTCAGTGCTGGCACTTGTGACTTCACTTATGCAAGTGTGTCACCACGATTGTTGCGGGTGCTCACATATGCGCATGCGCGCTTGCAACCCTCTCACAAAATCATCCCCTTTCTACTGTCCCCCCGCTCTGGACCGCCAACCCAGAAAGGTTGGGGAACTCTGATCTAGAACTAACATCTCTGTCATGAGCCAGCCCTGAGCACTTCTAGCTTCATGCCAGTCTATTTCATACGCCACCAAGAGCCGTGGTGGAGCAGTGGTTAGAATGCAGCGTTGCAGGCTAATTCTGCCGACTGCAAGGAGTTCGATCCTCACTGACTCAAGGCTGACTCAGCTTTCCATCCTTTTGAGGTCGGTAAAATGAGGACCCAGATTGTTGGGGGCAATATGCTGACTCTGTAAACTACTTAGAGAGAACTGTAAAGCACTGTGAAGCGGTATATAAGTGTAAGTGCTATTGCTATTGCTATCTCATTTGAATCCATCCTTCTTCCCAGAAGCTGAGGCAGGCCTGGAGGACAGAAAATGGCTGGCTGCCATCTCAATGCAAGGGTCCATTCACTGTCTTATCCACCATTCTTATTTCACACCCTTTTCACTTCCTGAAGCAAATTTGCAGTCACATTTCTAAGCAAACCTATTCAAAAGAAAGTTCACTGCATCTCCCACAAAGGCTAAGTTTGTTATAAACACAAGGCTTTGGTACAGATAATCCGCAAGTTATGACCACAGTTCACCCCAAAACTTCTGTTGCTGAGCAAGACAGTTGTTAATTGGGTTTTGCCCCATTTTACAACCTTTCTTGACCCAGCTGTTAAGTGAATCAGTGGAGTTGTTAGTATCACGTTCGTTAAGTGAATCAGATTTCCCCATTGATTTTGCTTGTCAGAAGCTGCCAAAGGTCACATGACCCCAGGAGCCTGCAACCATCATTAATATGAGCTAGTTGCCAAGTATCCTAATTTTGATCATGTGATCACGGGAATGCTGCAACGGTCATAAGTGTGAAAAACAGTCATAAATCACCTTTTTTCAGTGCCATTGTAACTTTGAATGATCACTAAATCAAAGTTGTTGCCAAGCCCCACAGAGATGGCTAAACTAAGGAAATAAGAAATACATACATCAGCAAGGAATTTGGAATGGGGTTTCCGGATAAATACAGAATCTTGGAAAGTGCAGTAGGACCTACCTCCCCAGCCTCATTTATAGAGTTCACTAATGTGGAGTCTCTAAACACTTTTTATTAAATATCTCCCCACCTGGGTTGGCTATAACAGGGGTCTTCAAACTTGACAGCTTTAAGACTTGTGGATTTCAACTCCCAGAATTCCTCCTCCAGTCATGTTAGCTCAGGAATTCTGGGAGTTGAAGTCCACAAGTCTTAAACTTGCCGAGTTTGAAGACCCTTGGACAATAAGATAACCTGTCAGATGACTTACTTTACCTCCAAACTCATAGTTAACTCATGTTAACTATGAAGATATTTCACGAGTATGAAAAGTTTTGATATGTTGTAACCTGGCTAAATCGAAACTGGTCACTGGCTACGATCGTGTGATCAAATAGATTCTCCTTTTGTCCACAAAACAGTTTTTCTCAATTTTGAAAACTTTAAGATGGGCAGACATCAACTCCCAGAATTCCACCACCAGCATCTTAAAGTTGCTAAGGGTGAGAAACCCTGACATAGAGGAGAGCTTCCGTACAGATTTCCTAATGAGAAAACTGGAAATGCCCATCCTCCTAAAGAAGTAAAACTAGACAAACCTGTGACCCATTGGGTCATCCTTTGAGCAAATGGTGATGTGACCAGAACAAACATTCAATTTTAAGCTGACCATATTTTTTTTTACCCCAATACTTGTGGTTACCCCATGATTATCTAAGAAACATCGTGAATGGAAAAATAATGGGAATGATAAACAAACTTCAATAGTAAGTCAATATTTACTAACCATTTATTTACTAAATGGGAAGATTACAGGTGTGGGGGGGAAACAGAGGGAGTGGAAGCAACTTCTGACTTCTTGCTGTTTTCCCCATTTACTTTTCTTGTAGGAAACTGGTAGGGAGTGTCAATATTTACAATCATGTAAACATAGGGACGCTACAACAGCCATAAGTTTGCAATTCAATCTGGTCTGAACATCATGGACGTTTCAATTATGCAGGAGTAATGGGTCCTGGATATTTTATTGGTTCTTTTAAGTTAGCAAGTTTTAGGTACCCAGTTCAAAAATTGTGGCATTATAACGCAACTGGAGAGTATCAAACAGACGAACAGATAAACACGAGAGTTTTAGTATATAGATGCCTGAGGAACTCGTAAACAGATTCTCCCATGTAAGACATATGATTCTACCCATCTGTGCGTTAATTTATGCCTTTGCCTGCTTCATCTATGCCCTCCTTAAGAAAGCTCCTTCATTAGCCCATGTTGCTCACCCCACCTCTGTTTCTCTTGTATTTTGTCAGGTTCCCTTCCAGAAAGACTGCGGCCAGGATGGAATTTGTGTGCCTGATCTTTCGGTATCTTTTAACTTCTCAGGGTGAGTGACATGTGGTGTTCATGGTCTAATTCTGTCCTTCGCTATTGCAAACTTGGATCATCCAATGGAAATAGGTGACATTGTGTGAGAGCCAGGAGGTACACTTCAACCATCCACTAGGAAGTGCTACCTCTGGTTGGTAGGAAGCTGTGCACAAGCTGAGGGTTAAATCCAAGATTTACGATAAAATCTATATATATAAAAGTGAAATACCACTCATGCATCATCACAAAATCCCCAGAAGCCTACAAACTTGAAATTTGGCACGTATGTTCCTCTTGGCTTCTAGGTGCTCACCAAGAAAGGATGTTTTGAAATGACCATCAGAGCATTAGTATTTTATATATTATTATTAACATGCTCTGATGCTAAGGAGTTCTATTCCCCCTCCCCACCTGAAAAGAAATCTGTTCCAAATGCAAAACACAAGCAGAGGAAAGCAGTTTCAGTTTCAGATTCAATTTCACAGCACCAAGCAGCTTTAGTACAGAACAGTTGAGCTAAGCCCTGCTCAGGCTCTTTGCTGTCTCCTTCTTGCTCACACGGCAAATACTGTTTCATTTCCCAAACAGCCCTCAACTCTCACACACTGACAGGACGCTAGCCAGATAAATATCGATGAATGCTGGTAGGCAGAGGCACAATTTCCCCTGCCCCCTTATTTTCCTTCCCCAAAAACTAAGCCCGGTCATATAGTTTCATAGCGAAGCACGGGTATTGAGCTAGCCATATGTAAAATACCAGAGCCTGTGAAAATTGTTTCTTCCGCAATCCGTTTTATATAATGGGTCCGAGATGCATCGCGTGAATTGTGTCCTGTATCTGTTTCTATCAGTCCTCTTGTGCTGGAGATGGGCAGTATCGTGGTTTGCAATAAAAGTCGGACCACCAAATCCCCATTTTAATTGGTTTGGGGCTCTGCTAACATTAGGCATTGGATAGAAGGTATTGGATTCATTTCCTTGTAATTCCTGTAGTAGGTTTCATGACCATTTCTATTTTGTGGAATCTAGTTGTAGGGAAGTGGAGACAAGGAGGCAGGAAGTCACCAGGGGTCCTTGGCATTGAGGAAATATTTCCCATTATTGTATTTCAGATCTAAAGGATTGAAGTTGAGCCCAAATTTCATACTGAATTTAACAGTGAAACTAGAAAATCTGGGAGAATTGGCATATGAGCCGGCCATTTCTTTTTACTACTCTTCTGTTATGTCCTTCCAGGGAGCTTCACTTCTTCAAGTGAGTTTGATGAATTTTTGGGGGGCGGAGGGGTTATAGTGGGGAGAAATAGGGGGATTAAGGTGGAGATGCTGGATTTTTGTAGATCAGAAGTCAGGTGTTACCATCAGGGTCACCTGGCAGGTATGACCTTGCTGAGTTGACTGATCTAGAAAAAGATCAGAAAAAGAAGATCTAGAAAAAGATAAGCCACTGTACACTCAGCATAGAAGATTAGCTAGCAGGAGAAATTATACAGCTGCCGTATAAAAACAGGTAGCAAATCCCACACTCACCAGCACTGATGATGTTGCCCAGTTGGGTTATGAAATGTCTGCAAACAAACAGCCAAGCTCAGAGAGAACCAAGTACTCCACAACCTAGAAAAAGTCAAGCAATGTCAAACCAGCTTAGAATTTACGTAGATGGGAGAGTATTAGGAAACCCCAGATATGTAGTTTAGACTGAGAAACCTGGAAAAAAACTTCCTCCCAGATGATAACAAAGGCAAACTCCTTGCACATAAGCCTGTAGCCACCCCCTTGCAAAGTAATCTGAAGCTAACAGAAATCTAAGCAATCAATCTTTGCAGCTGTATGTTAATTTCCCCTTAATTATTGGAAAAAAGAAAGACCAACTGAAAGAAAATTACTTTGTCTACCAGCAGACAAATTGGACTAGCTTGGATTAGCTGGTTTTAATGAGTTGGGTAGGTTAAGAGAATAACAGATTTTGAAGGGACTTTAGAGGTCTTCTAGTCCAACCCCCTGCTCAGACAGGAAATCCTATACTATTTCAGACAAACGGTTGTCCAATCTCTTCTTAAAAACCTCCAGTGTTGGAGCATTAACTTCTGGAAACAAGCCGCTCTACTAATTAATTGTTCTGACAGGAAATTCCTCCTTAATCCCAGGTTGCTTCTCTCCTTGATTCATTTCCATCCAGGTTGCTTTTTGTCCTGCCCTCGGGGGCTTTGGAGAATAGCTTGACTCCCTCTTCATTGTGGCAACCCCTTGAGATATTAGGACACTGCTGTCATGTCCTTCCCAGTCTTTCTTCTCATTAGACTAGACATACCCAATTCCAGCAACCGTTCTTCATATGTTTTAGTTCCATAACTTGGAATATTCCCAAAGGCCTTTGCTTGCATTCCCATGATTAAATGTACTTTGGCAAAGGTATAACAGAGTATGTATCTATTTTGGGTGCCTGGGCAGGCTTGCAAAAGACAGATGGCCTTGGTTCTTGTAGATCACTTTCACATTCACATTCCCCGGGCATGATCTGATATATATATATATTTTTAAAAAAACATTCTCTCTCTCTGCTTCAAGTCGAACTGGCCACTGTTCCCGGCTTGTCAGATGCATGGATTACCAGGAAATGCCTCCGTACGCCACAGCTCCTGCCGTTTCAGGCCACCCGCTCTCAAGGCAGGCACTCAGGTAAGACATGGGAAATCAAGTCAAAGGACAGAAGTAAAGGACAGCCATGAGAACAAAAGTGCGTGAAAGCAAAATGTGAAAAATGTTACCCTGCACAGGACGCTGGTGTAAGCTGTGTGTCCCGGTTCTGCACAATTACTGGGCCGGGAAGAGAGAGAATTCAGTATTCTCATATTGTTCAAATAAAATATTTCTACTCTGTACATTTATAAATGTAATCCTGATGGAATGCAACTTCAAAAACCAACAGAAGAAAAGCGGAAAAGGGATTGAGAGACAGGGCACCAATTACAATTTTCATTTATTTATTAAATGTATATGCCGTCCATCTCACTGTCCAAAGTGGCATGCACATTTAATAAATGAATGAATGAATGAATAAGCAAGTTCCATTCTTCATTCCTCCCAGTGGTTGGTAGAAAGAGAATCAATTCTATAGCCAAAAGAGAAAGAGGCAATTAAGTAACATTTCTACAAACGGCTCTTTGAGTTCCCACCACAACCAACAACGTAGGGTAATGAGGTTTTGGAGGCACTGGGAACCGGCATCCAAAATACAGGTAGTCCTCAAGTTATAACAGTTCATTTAGTGACTGTTCAAAGTTACAATGGCACTGAAAAAAGTGATGTATGTATGACCATTTGTTACATGCATGACATTGCAGCATCTCCATGATCACATGTTCAAAATCCAGACGCTTGGCAAATGACTCCTATTTATGACAGCTGCATTGTCCTGGGATCATGGGATCGCCCTTGGTAGTCTTCTGAAAAGCAAAGTCAATGAATTGCTTTGATCAAATAAAGGAATATAAGTACTTTTGTTTCTACGTGGAAACCGCTTCTGGACTTTGTGCTTGAGGTGGGGAAAAATGAAACTTTGATTTTGGGTTTTACTGATTAGATAGATTTGTTGTTATGGAAATGGCTAGTTTATACTATTATGGAAAAGTAGAAAATTGAAGTTTGATGTTACTGTCTTATTCCAGGGCACCAAAGGGAGTCAGAAGTCAACACCTTTTTTTTTCTTTTCTCCCTTCTTTTCTACACTTCTCCCTTCGCCTTCCCCTCCTTTTTCCCCCCAAACAATTTGCCTTTGTATTTTTGTATTTTATATTATAAGCTAATGAAAACCTGTAAACTAGGACAAAGAAACCCAGTGGAGAAAACAGGCTCAGTGAGCAACCGTATTACCATGCTAACAGCTGGAGTGATTTACTTAACAACTGTGGCAAGAAAGATCCTAAAATGGGACAAAACTCACTTAACAAATGTCTCACTTAGCAACAGAAATTGTGGTCATAAGACGAGGACTACCTGTGTTTGGGATGCTGCAGTTAGGAGGGAAGGAAGCTGTTTTAGCTGAAGGAGGGACTGACAAAAAGAAAGTAGGGTTGAAGAGGAAAACAGGCATTCCTATAAGCTGTGCCATGTTCCTCCCTGAAGGCCTTCCTCCGGGTTTCCTTCCGCTCCTCCAGAGGTGATGCCTGGCCGGACAAGTTCGTTTACTTCACCATCCGTGCACACAGGTAAGGAACCTGATAGAGTGTTTTTCCCCCCTCTGCAGTTTCTGATTGGCTTCTCCTAATTGCATTCTCCTTTTCGGTCTCTTCCAGTTTGAATGAGAGCAACGTGAAAGAGAATAATGAGGCTACCGGACGGCTGCCTGTTTTGCATCCCGTCAATGTCATAGTGAAAGAGTAATTCTGTCTCCGTTTTTTCTTCTTCTGTGGTTTCCTTCCCCAAGAGCCCATTTCCCAAGAATAACCCTGGTTTCTGGCAAAAATGTTGAAGAAGGAGCTGGAAAACTGGGATTCTAGTCAGAGGTGGCATTCAGCAGGTTCTGACCAGTTCTGGAGAAGTGAGAGCGGACATTTTGAATAGTTCAGGGAACTGGCAAATACCACCTCTCAATAGTCCCACCCCCATCTATTCTCCGCCACCCAAGTCCCAGCTGGTTGGCTGGGTCTTCTTTGGTTGCCCTGCACAGGAGAATGGAGCTGGAAAGCAGGTTAGTGGGGTGGGGAGGGAATGGGGATTTTGCAGTATCCTTCCTCTGCCACGCCCACCAAGCCAAGCCATGCTCACCAAGCCATGCCCACAGGTAGTAAAAAAACACTGAATCCCGCCACTGATTCTAGTCCATTCTCAGCCATAGAAGCTCCCTGGTTGACTTTGGCTTAGTTCTGTAAGAACCCAAGAACCAGAGTAGTGCGAGGGTGAAGGTTTGTTCTCCAAGCTTCTGGGTTGGTTTTCAAATGTTTCATTACCAGGCTAGCTTAACATCTTCAGTGGAGTTTAGGGGATATCAATGTCAGTATTCCTCTGTTTATAAGGGCTTCAGGCGTGCGTGTGTGTGTGTGTGTGTGTGTGTGTGTGTGTGAAGTGAGGGTCTAGTTGGTAGGTCAGCTGTGAGTCATCAGTGAGTCTCGTGATGGGCCTTGAGATAAGGAGATTACATCAGGGTCATTGGAAGGTGAACTGCTGGGGAGAGGTCGCATGAGTTGGTTGAGGGTTGGTGCTGTCTCCAAGACTGGTTGTGTGGTTGATTTGGATCCTGAGGAGTTTGTAGGCTAGTTGTAGGTCAATGTGTCTGTTTTTTTTTTAAGCAAATTTTATTAATTTCAAAGACAAACAAATCATCATCAACCATTACATATTTGAACCTTTTTCCATTATAAATTTTACAAGTCAGATAAAACCTTATTTTATACAATACAATTCTATTTTAAGCCATTTCCATATGAGCATAAAAATACCTCTTATCCAATTTCTCTTTACTTCTCTTTACTCTTATTCAATTTCACTATTATTATTTCATCTATTTCTTTCTGACTTGATTACCATTATTCTCATTCTGTATTTCTACAAGGTTTTATTAATACTCTCAAAAACATAAACACACAACAAACAAACATATAAAAATTCTTTTAGGAAAGTAACTTGGCCCCAAGTACCTCTCTTTATATGGGCTTCAATTATATTCATGCTCATCTTACATATCATTACCTATTTTGTTTACCATTCTATATCTTCTATATAAACTTCTCCACACATTTCACTCTTCATAATTCTATCTTATTTAATCCATCTTAATTTAAATCATTATATTTGTATCTTTTGCCCATTCTTTATTATCCCTCTATCTCATTCCTTATAATGAAATAAAAAGAATTTCTCCTGAAATCACTAATCAGAGTATGATGCCTTTCTATCCTCCCCCTAAATTAATTAGATTAACATTTAAAATAACACCTAATACCCAATCTGATTCTGCTTGGTACATTCTATCTACTAATTTTTTTCTTTTAATAACAATAAAAACAGAGTGATAAATCCAAAATGATTAAATACATAGTTAAATAATAAATCTAAATATTAAATCTTATAACATTCCCATTGCCTTTCCCTTTAATATTTTATTACATTTTAAAATCAATCATTGTTAAACATTTCAACATTTTAATTTCTTATTAACTCTTAAGCCATTCTAATTTTCTATTTCTAATACAGATGTTACAATACCATCTTATGTACCTTGCAAAATCTTTTTTAAGGAAATTGTACTTTACCCTTTGTCCCTAAAAAAAATTCCTCTTTTCCCATCTAATTTCAAAACTTTGTGGCTTTTCTCCGCCTTTCCCCTTTCTTTCTTCCCCCACCAAATCTTCCAACCCCCCCTTCTTCTAGCGTCTGCCTTGCTGGCATCCCTTCTCTGTTGTGTTCCCTTTTTCTTTTGTTTACTATCATTATATTTATTTTGCATCTTATTTTTCTCTTTCTTAAATGTTTTTTTAAATCTTAAGTCCTTCATTTTCCTCGCTTTCTTCCTTCCTTCTTTCTTAGTTAAATTTTGGAATTCATTAAAGATGGCGTCTTCATCTTCTTCTTCTTGTTGTTCTTCTGCCTCCATCTGTTGTATTGTTTGTTGATAGTTAACCAGCGCCATTTCTAAAAATAGGAAGGCTTTTTCCATACCATCTTTACCGGCTGCTTTTGTTTGCTCATATTCTTCCCTCAGTTCCTCAAAAGAAAAAGCCATTATAGATCTTTTCTTTTCTTTT